GCACGCACGCACGCACGCACGCACGCACGCACGCACGCACGCACGCACACACAGAGAGAGAGACCAGCCGTCCTGCACAGCGGGAGGGGAGGAGGGGAAAGAAAGGCAGCCACTTGTACAGATTGTAAGTTATTAGGATTTTACATCATTTTGCAGGTATATGGACGTATAAAGCAATCTCACGGATTTTTTTCAAGTCTTACGGACATTTTAAAAACCTCATTTTCAAAGTTATCTAACATGTCAGAGCCTGTAGGATGACTTAAAAAACAAATAACATCAAACAGCCATCTTCCAACCTGTTCTGCCGCTAGAAATAAGTTACTTTTTCCTCCCTCCTTTCCTTCAGCAGGCGCTTTCATGTCCTCAGCTGAACCCCCACCCCTGCGGGTGCGAGTTGTATGGATTTTTTGCAAAATTTATGGATTTTTAGGGCTCTTTATACAGGTAAACTACTTTTATTCCTGATTTAAACTAGTGATCGTGAGCAGCTGTATGCTTTTCTTTTTTTCTGTCAGGCTGTCAGAGCGCTCCTCCTCCTCTGTCCGAGGCTGGTGTGGGGTGAAAATCCTCCACCTCAGACGTTCAGAGATGTAACTCTCTGCGATACTGTGGTCACTTTCCATGTAGCATCAATTATGCTAATGCTAGCTGTCACGTTCTCTCGTCCTGGCCACACCTCCGCTCTCTAACCCCACCTCCCCTACTCACACCCCCTCCCCTACCCACTTTGATGCATTTTTCAAATTTCGCCTTGGGGCGGAGTTATCTTTTCACAGGGGGTTAAGTTACACTTTAATTTTGTCCGAGTAACAGTCAGCATGTCTTTATCACAAGACCTCAGAGCCCTGACAGGAGTGTAAATACTGTATGTAAAAGTTCAGTAATGTAGTGTGGTGTCTGACCATGCAGAGTTTGTTTTATCTGGTGCAAATATAATAACTTCTGGTTTTTCTTCATTTAACTGAAGAAAACTCCCATTCATCCAGCTCTTTATTGAATCCAAACATCGTAGTAAAAGACCCACTTTTGCAACTTCATGTGGAGAAAACGAGATGTACAACTGAATTTCATCAGCATAACAGTGATAGGAAATATCCTCAAAAGATGACAGGATTGAACCAAGGGGTAGCATATAAAGCAGAAACAACAATGGCTCCAAAACAGAGCCCTGTGGAACACCAAAATGAACAGGGCAGGAAAGGAATCTGTAAGTAGAGGAGGCCAAAAAGGTTGATCTGTCAGATAAATAAGAGGACAATCATTTTAAAACAGCACCTGAGATACCAGCACAACTCCTCAGTCCATCTAATAATAGAGTCGGATGGTCAACAGTGTCAAAAGCTGACGACAGGTCCAACAAAATTAAAACGGAACAATTACCCTTATCACACTGCATTAACATGTCATTAGAGACCCTAAGAAAAGCAATGGTGGGCACAGTTAGCTTTGCTGACCATTAACATGGTGGGCACAGTTAGCTTTGCTGACAACATGCTGCATAAAAAAGTTGCTTTTAAAGGCTAAACCACTAATGTCTGTCATTTAAACATAGACGTGTGTGGTATCCATAAAATAGTCAAAATATCCATAAAACAGTCAGAGCCATACATCCACCAAACACAGTTAAAACTACAAGCATTTGAATCAGAAAATGCTAAAGATGCTACATGCGCACACAAGGCGCATGACACAAGCATATGTGAGAGGACTGTTGTTTTTGTTTTCCTTAGCAGACTTAAGGTTAGCAGAACTAAATTTAGTGGAAGCTAATGGGTTACTTACCAGTTTCCAAAGTTAGCAAAAACGCTAATCAGCTAAATGAAAAGTTAGCTCCGCTATTAACTGTTAGCTGATTAGCGGAACATTACCACAAAGCATAATATGCCTCTAAGAGCCTCAAACTTGTACCAAACAATTGGCTGTGAATCACAGGCTGTCCGTCATCATGTGGTTTCCTTGCCTCAAAGTCATGTTATTTTCCTGTTTCCAAATCGCAGCCAGCATCAGTGTGTTTCTATGTGCAAGGATGATGTCAGTTCAGCGCCACAGACCTGCTGATCATGAAGTCATCCAATCCATATGTTGTGGTTACTGTACTCTATGCAAAAAGAAAAAAAATGCTGCTTGACATATTTTCCAACACGCTCCTGTGTAATGGAAGAGGAAGCCGCGACGCTTTGCTTCTAAAGCTGCAGCCATCTGTGTGCTCTAAGAAAATTAAAGTGCACTTTAATGCTGTGGTGGGGCTCATTATCTTCCATTTCCTGCACTTTTTTATATGCACTGACACTGCGCTGTTATATCACAACATAATGGGCTGCAGATTTGATCCAGGCAGCAGGTGGATAAATTGGTTTGTGTCTCCCCCTCATGGACTGGGCTGTGACGTCGTCTTCCTCTCTGATGCTCGATTTGAAAGCTCAACTTAAAAATAAAAAAATTTAATAAAATGAAACATTGAATTTGAACCCTCATATTGTGCTAAATAAGAAAACAAGGCTGCCTTTGACAGGGTTCCCGTTTGATGTTTTTGAAATGCAAAGCAGAGACGGAAACAGAAAAGGGCACATTCCTCATCTTCTCCCTGCTCTCTAATCTGGGTCACATACTTTGTTGGGAGATTGGGCCGTACCATTCCTCCTGAGTTTGTGGGGATTTGATGAACATCTGGCCCGCGCCTTAATCTGAATATTTGAATAACCCAGGAAAAATGTGTAAACATGTCGCTAAGTTTAACATTTTCAAACCTTTTCTCCCCTGAGCTTAAACATGAAGCGCTATAAATATATATATTTTTTTGTTTTGTTTTTTCTCTCCCATCTGTTTATTCCTTTCCCTTTGCTCCACTTTTTGATACGCTCAGCCAAAGTGCACACATCACCTCTTCGCCGGCTTTATCTCCTCGTGTCACATTCATTTAAAATGTACATACACACTGAATTAAACATTGCATTTATTCCTCCTCACCCTCACTGTCATGTGCACCCTCCCACAGTGTTCTCATGCTCTCTCTCTCTCTCTCTCTCTCTCTCTCTTCTTCTCTTTGCAGCGTTGCCATAGGCATCGGTTTCTATGGCAACAGCGAGGCTAACGATGGGATGTATCAGTTGACCTCGTCTCTTCTCACAGCCAATTACACGCTAGCTTCCATCGATCTGCTGGTGAGTGCCTGATTCCCCGCGAGTGAAATGTCACAGTGCTGTTGGGTTCTGCGTGGTGGAGGTGGGTGGGGACAGATGTGTACATGTGGTCAGAAAAATCAGAGAAAAGCCACCGTTTTATCGACTTCCCTGTGGTCAGGGGCGCTGGTTTGTGTGTCAGACTGCTGATTTCATCAGGTGGTGGTGCAGGTCAAAACAAAAACAAGATGAAACTTGAACACCTGATGAGGGCGAGCAAACCACCTCAGTTTACTTTATAGTTTATGTTGATATTTAAACATTTTAAAAGTGGGAAGGGTGCTTATTATCCTACAGCACAGTAAATAAACTGTGCTGTAATTCAAATACAAGATGGATTTTTAAATCATAACTCTAAGGTACATAATAAACTGGATCATATCTGTTGAGCCTAATTTTACACACATAGTGATTTAATCTTTTTTTTTTTATATAAAAGTGAAATTAGATGATTAATTCCACTCACACTCACCGTAAGATAACCTATTATTTCCTGCTCATCAAGTAATTAATTATTAAACATCACTGCAGTAAATCTTTCTGCCATCAGAGGTTTATGTTCCTGCAATTAGTCCATGCCGTCATAAGAAATGAGAAACTCAACCAATTTATTTAACTGTTTTTATCATTATTACTGATTAAAACAGAGCTGTATTAGTATTATGTATTAGGTACCTTCATTAAGCGTGTTAATGTTATATTTTAATTTCATTGTTGAGTTTGTTCTTTTACAAACACACATATATAAATATATTTTCAGCATGTCACCATAAGAGAAACAGTTTCTGTTTAAATGACATAAAAAAGCTTGATTCTATCTCATACTTCTGCTTTTTCTGTTTTATCTTTAATTCAAAAGGCTAAAAGAGCAAAGTTTGAGTCTACTGACTCAAGTGAATAAGAATTAAATAATAGGAGGTTCTAGAAAAACAAAGAGGAAAAAAATGGCGGACACTACAAGAGAAAGTGCTGATGTCTGTAAAACTGTAAAAGTCATGTTCTTCTGTTTTCAAAGGTTGATCAGCCACGTTAAACTACTGTATACAAACAAAGACGCAAAAATATACAGTACAAAGACCAACCTGTGCAGTACTTAATAACTAGATGGATACATTTAACTCAAAAGCTTCTGTTAGAAGAAATCAAGTAACTGACTGTGACAATCGATGCAGATGAGATTTAAAGAACTCCAGCAGTCAGTGGATCCAGCAGCTCTGTTTGGAGGAAAAGTGAATAAACATCAATACAAGGCTGTTTAATGCGGTCACATTTCTGTCCTGCTAAGAGAAATCTCTTTCAGCGTGACACTGTTCCCTATCCTTGTGGCACCAAGGGATCACTGGATGTTTAATTACCCCGGAGAAGATATCTAAAATGCAGTCTTTACATCTCGGATCAATCCAACACCTATGGGAGGCTCCTGAGCTCTTCTGCTGTATGTTAGACTTGTTCTGGATTCATCAAAGGGTTTTCAAGCTCCTTCAAAAGACTTGGGACTGAGCTACTAACAGTGTGCACTGAGAATCGTGTCTGTTAAATGAGCAAAATCGTGGACGTAATCTATTTAGCGTGCTTGTCTTCCTAAACATGTAAAATATATGATGATTTATCAGAATGTGCAAAATACTGTAAGTAGAATATGCAGATTTATTAATTTAGGAAACCACAAAGAGACAGAAAGAGAGAGAATGGGCTGCATACAAGCAGTGGTGGACAAAGTACTCAACTCTAGTACTTGAGTAAAAGTATTGATACTCATGGTCAAATCTACTCCACTACAAGTAAAAGTTACTCAGTCAAAAATCTACTCAAGTAAAAGTACTGAAGTACTTACTTTTGAAAATACTTAAGTATTCAGAAGTACATGCATTTTAAAGCACTTAAGTACAAAGTAAAAGTACAAATTACATTTTTTTCTTTTCTTTTTCTTGTCACTTCAGTAGAAAACTAAACTAAATATTAGTTTATTTAGTTTATTTTTTCATCATCAGTGACTTTTTTTGTGAAGAGAAAATAGAAACAGAGAGAAAAATAGAGAGAGAAGTAATTAGAAAGATAGAAAGACTGAAATAGCGATTAGAAGTATATTAAATATACACCAACAAAACACAGGACCACACA